AGAAGAAGAAGAAGAAGAAGAAGAAGAAGAAGAAGAAGAAGAAGAAGAAGAAGAAGAAGAAGAAGAAGAAGAAGAAGAAGAAGAAGAAGAAGAAGGACGGTGAACTCTGGAATGCTGGGAAGATAAGAAAATTGCTTTCTTTCAAATGCAAGACTTCCTGTGTGTCCCATTCTTATTGCTATGAGCTGGAGCTCATAGCAAAGTAACATTTCTTTGTATTCCAGTCTTGCACAGGCACCAAAACTTCAGCAGGAAGAGAGTTCATTCAGGTCACTGGTTAAACCAGCCAGGTCTACATTAAATATGTGACTCAGCATTCCCACTTCTCATTTCTGAACCTTTTGATGACTGCAAAGATAGCATTTAAAGTACAATGTAGCCCTGTAGTAATCAACATGTTCCTGGTTTTATGAAGTTCCTTGGAGGCTGAGAATTACAGTCTGTCCCCTGTCCTTGCAAAGTATAACAGGGTTTTGTTGATCACATATACCTACCTTTAATTTTATTATCTCTGTCCTCCTTTCTCTGCTTCATGGAATCCAGAGCTGTCAGAGTGGTGAGGATGAAGAAGAGGAAGACAAGGAAAAGACATTTGAAGTAAGTTTTCCCCAAGTTTACCACCCTCCCAGGACAACAGGCGTGGCTTGTAGCTGTGGATGTCGACATTAGCATGAGTTCACCCACCATGTGCTTGAAAGCCAGCAGAGCACATCTGTGAACAGGCCTGCTGACCTATCTAACTAGGTAGCGGGTATTGAGCAGCTGAACATCCGTAGATCACCCTACTAGTGTGAATATTGTGAACAATATTCTATCTCTGCCCAAACATTGCAGCAATAAGCCATAGAAGGACAACGTCAAACATCCAAAAATAAAAAATCAGAGTTATTTTTACACTAATTTTTGCACTACTATTCTATAAATGCAGATTGATAACAATTTTGATTTTAAGGCAGTTCAAGGCCCTGAAAATACTAAGATTAAACAATTCTAGGGTAATTTGAGAGACAAAGTACCAACAGAACATAAGTACAGAAATATATTTAGACTTCTGGAGAGCTTTGACATTCTAGCAGCCCATGACTGGTAGAAAGTGTCTCTTAACCATTGTGTGATCATGTTAGATAAACAGGCACTGCCTGCATTCAGAGACATACTTCAGCTATGCCCTTGGAGGTCTGTGTATGATGGACCATTGAAATTACACACACCTTAATCTTAGGTTGCTTCCTATAATTATGATCTCAAAGGGTAAGGGACTGTGTTAGTAAGCAATACTGAGAATAGAAAACTCAGCACCAACATATGAGTGAATTATGGATAGACTGTGTTGGAAAACTGAGTAGTAGCTGGTAGTAATAAACTTCAGAGATTAACTTTATCTGACAATCATGTACATTCTTTCTAAGACAGCTAACGATTGTCTTTCAACTCAGTTTACCCCAGTGAATTCCCTTCAAGAGAACATGGACAGGAAACAGGTGCATATGGTAGACCTGGGGCAGTTGAAGGAGTAGAGAACAGATCTTTCCCTGTGATTTTTCCCCCAGGAAAAAGAGATGGAGAAGCAGAAAACACTGTATCAGCAGGCTCGGCTGCATGAGCGGGGTGCTGCAGAGATGGTCCTACAGATGATAAGTGCCAGCAAAGGTGATGCTCCTCACTTCTGGGTGGGCCAGTGCAACTACCAGGGCGATGTCACACATGGTGGAGGCTTTATTAACAAGTCCTGACAAAGTCCGGTAGGTGCTATTTGCCACCTGTTACCTTGGCGATTCAATCTCATCTTCACCCTGGCAGGTGAGATGAGCCCCATGGTGGTGGAGACTCTGAAGCTGGGGATCGCCATTCTGAACGGAGGCAACACTGGGGTGCAACAGGTAATGGGGACTCAGGGGAAGCTTGCAGAGTTCCTGAGGGCTCCCATTTGACAGCTGTCAGGCTTCAGGGAAGAAGTGTAGACTGCTACACAGAGGAGCCTCCCAGACTCACTTGGCTGCTGTTTGTCCTTAGTGGCCAATTGTGTCTCAGTATTTGGAAACAAAGATAACATCAAGGCTGGGAGTAAATGTGCGCTTAGTAAAGACATTTTGATCCAGGGTTAAAAAAGAAAACACTTTTTATCAGATGATTTGCTGAAAAACATATATGTATATTTCTTTTGCAAAAGTTTTTGAGCATGAAGTATTTATTTCAACACTCCCACTTCTTAGCTGCCTTCCTGTGAGTGGGGGTGGCTGATAACCCTACGCATTTGTCAGTCCTTTATTCATTCATTGAGCAGTTAGTCACTGATTGCTGACCCTGCTAGGCTCCTCCTTGAGGGCTGAGGCTGTAGCAGTAGATCAGAGAAATTGAAACCCCTGCCACCCTACAGCTTTCATTCTAGTGAGTGTCAAGTGAGGCCTCATGTAACAGCATAGAGGGCAGCAGGCCTGGACATGGCTCGTCTCATGGACTTGTTTCATTATCTGAACCAGAACTGGCTGCTAAAGACAGAAATGTACTAGTGTCCTCTGGGCACTCCTAGGCAGAAAGCACCTCATTCACACTGTGTTTGTATGTTGGGGTTTCTCACATAAGTGGAACCATGTAATTTGTAACTACCTGTGATTTATTAGAGGTAATGTAATGGTATAATCTCAAAGACACTTCTTGGAGATGAAGAAAAGATCAAAGAGGGGAGATACGGGATCAAAACCGATTAAGATATGATATATAGATATATACAAGTACCCCAACACAAATGTAAATATCATGTATCTCATATGATAAAAAGAAAAAGGGATCTCTGTGCACAGAAAAGTAAAACTGGACAAAGCAGACCTTTTTGCTCCTGAAGTTACATTCCAAGTCCTTGGAGAGTTCTCACATTTGTAACTATTGTAATTATTGTATAGCAGTTGCCCAACCTCTAGCTCCTCCAAAACAAAACAACTGCCATTGTCTTGGTTACTTTCTGCTGTCTTCTGTCACCAGCTGTCAGTGGATTATCCTGGCAGATCCCTTATTTTAAATAAAAACTTTACTATATCACAAAATTTCTGCTTTCCCTAAAACAGAGAACACAAGAAACAAGGACTCTTGTGAGAGAACTATTGATCTTCCAAGTAGGCTTATTGCTAGTAACTCCTTGCTCCTGTCTGCAGATTCATACTATGAATACTTGAGGTGCTACACCAGCAATGTTAAACATTACCATGCCATCCTAAACATGGCCTGTTCCCGAGAAGAAATGATTCCAAGCAGTGGATTATGAATGCAAAAGGTCTATTCTACTTTAGAAATACTAGTGAGCCTTCACAAAATAAATGTGATCTGCCTACAAGATTCTGATTCTGAGTGTGGCTCAGCTATGTGTGATTATTGGTTTGGATTTTTAAGTGCATGCATGATTCTCACACTTAGGCCTGGGGTCTTGGGTTGGGGGGTTGTCATTTGTCCAGCAGAATCAGCACTTTAGAATAGTCTTCATAGCTTGAACTGTGTCTCTCTTACAGAAAATGCTAGATTATTTAAAGGAGAAAAAAGATGCTGGATTCTTTCAAAGCCTTTCTGGTCTTATGCAATCTTGCAGGTAAATATGAGGAAATCACTCAGGACTTTTGAAAACTCTTCATTATTCAACAGAAAGGGAGGCAGAAACTGATACATAAAATCACTGGCTTATCATGGAATTATTGAGACAGGGCTCAGCAACCAGCTACCCTAGAGAGCCAGGAGGGTGGGTATTGTTCCTCCACACTTCCAGGTCACGTCCAAGCAGGACAACATTCGGAAGGAAGTGCATAGTCTCCATTAGCTACAAACACACAGCTGTTGTCTTCAACTGCCTTCCTTACCCCCTTTTCTGGTAGGCTGTTCTCCTGGGAGGCTCAGTGCCTACTTACAGTTTCTTCTCAAGCATGTATGCCCATAAATGTCAAATCAAAATGGAATGAAATGAGGAGAAACTCCTCACTATGACTCATGGCTGCATTTCCACTGATCCTTTCACCTTTAATCTTAATGATTCTTTGAGCTTCAAAATGTGCTTGGTGGATACACGCTCTGACACATCCATTTTGATGGTGACTCATCCTGGCATGGGAACATCTTGACATAGCCTAAAAACAATGTTTATGCTACCAAATTCAGTAAGCCACCCTTCCTGGCTGAACCCTCTGGCAACTATATAACATAAAACCAAAAGTCGTAAGGTCCTTGCTCATTTCAGAAATAACACAGCAGTCTTTCTGAGAAAAGTGCCACCTTATTCCCTAAAGTGCATGTTTATATTGAATAGTCTGCAACTCATTCTAAAAAAGATTAAGATTGTATGAAGTTAGCTCATTTGCCTCCAAGTAATGTGATTTAAAATGGAACATTATGTTTTCCATTTGAAAATCCAGAGGATGAACATTCTTTCTTTTAGTAAAGTTCATAATTTGCTAACCTTATTTGATAGGCTAAACATTGTACCCTTGGGTAATAAGGAGCATGCAATGTGATCCCTCACTCACATATCTATTCTTTTCCATCAGCAACCTATTAGTTTATTATCTCTCTCTGGAAGAGAAAATATAATATTGCCAGACCTGACTCACTGAGGGGAAAATAGTACTTGTGAACTCAGAGGTGGCCAAAATCAGGACAGTTTAGTTCCACATTGCTCATCAAATTCTCCATGAAATTTCCAAGAGCCCATCCAGAATTCTGCCATATTTAATATTGCTAAATTTGTTTATAATTTGCTTCTAATGATGGTGTGGAGGGACACGTGACATACACTTAGATGCCAACTGACTTGTAACTGAAGTTTTAACCTATTTTAATGGGTTTTGATGATTAGAAAAAGAATACACATTTGTAAAATATTAAGCAGTAGAGAAATTGAAACTTTCAACATGAGTGTTTTGGGATGAAGTAAGGATCAGATATACGGTTCAAAATCAAAACAGCTTCAAAGCAACTAGATCCAGATGTCCTTCTCATGTTGTCCTCCCCTGGTAGCAAAACCAATATAAAAAAAAAATAGTACCATGCTGTTGAGGAGCTCTTTTTATAGCAGAGTCCAGGAACAAAGCAACGGGGATAGCAAAAGAAATTTCACTATTTTCTGTTTAAAATGCATCTCTTCTGTAGAATGCATGAGATAAAAGAGGAAAGAATGCCATTAGCTTTCTAGGGTGTTAGTCATTTCCTTTACCTAGTGGCTCTAGGAAGGTCACATCTTGCAGTCTTAATGGATTCAGCTATAACCTTCCCTAAGAGGTTTATTCTTATAAGTTTGGTTTTGTGAGACCTTTCTTAATGGAAAAGAGTTGGGTTTATTGGTAAAACAGAAAGAGCGCTACTTGAAAATCATGTGATCATATAGTACTTTCATTATTAAGAGGGATTCCTGGCTTAAGTAAAATTTGTTGGTAGCTGTAACTGGGAAGGATGGGGGATGTAGGTACGAAAAAGTTAGCTAACTTGTCACAAGTTCACAAGCACCTATGGGCATATCTGCCTTTAGAAATCTTGCAAAGCTGTCTGTAGAAGTCTTGGCTTCTATTGGCTCCTGAATGATACAGAAACTTTAAAAGGATGCAGCCTCTGAAATCTGGAAGCTTTCTTAACAAGAATGCCTGCCATAAAGTAAAGGAACTGTTAAATTTTGAACTACACTATGCATAATTTCATTTACGATAGTACAGAGGCAAGATATCTTTAGTCAGTAGATACATTGACACTAGAAATCTATTTTCCCAGTGTTTACTAGCCCTGAAACTTGTTTCGATCTGTCTGTTAAAAGTGTCCTTGACTTGAATGCATTTGAGAGGCAGAATAAAGCTGAAGGCCTGGGGATGGTCACTGAAGAAGGAACACGTGAGTAACTCATGGCTGTCAAGGCCGTTGTCTTCCTGATTGAAATCTTCACTCTTTCTTGTTAGAGTTCTTGCTCATTGCTTCTGAATTTACTAAGAGTTGCTCCATTTGAGCAAAACATTTCCACCAGTAACTTTGATAAAGCCAGAATCCAGGAAGGCTGTGTTCATAGAGTCATTTAGAACTGTTTACTGTGGTGTTTATGGATTCTTACTTTGTACTCTTCTTTTTTTCTCTTATTGCCAGTCATCGTTCGTGAACGTGGTAAGTTTGCATTTCTGACCCAAATCCCTGTCTGAATCTTAAGAGATCTAATTTAATTGCCACAGCATAGACACATCTTAGGTTTTGTGGTTGCATGTTGAGTTTAACTCAGCCATTTGATGCTTAATTAAAGGAGTATATTCCACCTGTAAAGCATGGGTTATGGACTGTGAGCCACTTACTACCATTATCCTAGTTCTCATTACAAATGCATTTTGGGAATACATAATGCACCTTTGCTGGGTTCTGTGCTCAGCGCCTCAGCTCCAAATTAATTGGACTGATCATGATTTATCCAAAGTTTTTTCCCCAATATGTTCTGGCACAACTTTGTTAGTACTTTTGTAGTCATTTGAATTGGAAGGCATTTCCTATTGAGGAAGCCAAACAAAAGCTCACCAGCATGTTATGTTTTTCAAGGTGAAAAAGTACTCCAGAATGATGAGTTCACACGAGATCTCTTTAGATTCCTACAGTTACTGTGTGAAGGACATAACAGTGGTAAGTAGAATGGTTCCTTTTGTCGAAGAAAAACAATATTTGAATGCAAGACTAGAAGTCAGTTAATCATGTTCTACTTGATAAAACAGGTTGCTAACCCAAGGACATCAGTCAATTAATTCTTCCATCAGAAACTGCATAAAACAACTTCACAGCTAACACTATTTAGTGCCACCAAGGCTAAACTGTTTCTGTAATCCCCAGTCCCTGTATTCATCCCCTTGCAGTTTATTAAGTCCTGTTTCAGGTGTCACCAAGTTATGATGGCTCAGAACAGATTTCTGCTGGCCTCAAATATGGTGTCATTACAAAACATTTCCCTTAGTGTGCCTCTTCTGCCTTCAGCTGAGAGGATGTAACAAGGGCAAGGTCTGACCCAACACTGTTGTTCTCAGATTTTCAGAACTTCCTCCGGACACAGATGGGCAACACCACCACCGTGAATATCATCATCAGCACTGTGGACTACCTGCTACGTCTGCAGGTGGGTATGAGATCCCTGAGAAATGGTACCCTCAGCCGTGCTTCCAGAAGGTGCGAACAGTGCCCCAGGTTGGGGGGCCTAGGACCAAATGCTGTTCTACCTGCAGTGAGCTTAGGTCTCCAGAAGCCCATCATACGCTGGTGGTACATTTAGTAACATGTAGCCTACTCAACACCACAGCTTAGCACCGCAGTATACCACAGGGAGCTCTGGCTTGTGGCCCTTCCTAGGACTGTAAGAGAATATCGTGCCACATGTTGCTAACCCAAGAGAAGACCAAAATTCAAAATTCCAAGTAGTTTCTGCTGAACGCTTACTGAAAAATCCTAAATTGAATAATCCTAAATTGAAGCCACATAAGTAGGGGATGATCTGTATAATCAAGTCCTAATAAGAAAAAAAACAATAAGCATTTTTAATCTATGTCCATCCATACACTACAAGTTTTCTTAATGCCTAAAAGCTGTGCTTAGGGCTGGCCACATAGCTCAGCAGAGCTTAAGCTCTGCTAAGGCAGAGCACAGGGACCAGGTTCGATCCCTGCTTGCTGAGCCGACCCCACCCCTGGGCCATGATGAGACGGCAAATGAGACTGGGAGCAGTGGTGCTTGCCTGTAATCCCAGCTCTTGGGAGGCTGAAAACAGGAGAATCACTATGAGTCCAATCCACACAGTGAGACCCTGTAGACCCTCTCCTAAGCTCATAGAAAAAATTTTTTTAAAATGCTGTGCTTATGACTAAAGTGTGGAAGCTAGCTATGGTGGCACCACTTGTAATCCCAGCACTCTGACAAGCAAGAGGAATGAAAGTTCAAGCCCAGCCTGAGCCATGTAGGAAAGCCTGTCTGAACACAAAAACTACAATAGGGCTGGACTGAGCTGGGCATGGTGGTGCATGCCTGTAATCCCAGTGGGAGGCTGAGGCAGTAGGATCATTACAAATTCAAGACCAGCCTAGGCTGCAAAGTGAGCTTAAGACCAGCCTGAGCTGCATAGTGAGACCCTGTCTCAAAAAGACAAAAAATAATAATCAAAATAAAATAGGGCTGTGGTTATATAGCTTAGTGAAAATACCCTGGGTGTAATCCTCAGTATTGAATTAAAAAAAAAATTAAAGTAGGAGAAAAAGGTTACATGCCAAATTACCTGCCATAAAATGCTGATTTATTTTAGTTTTACCAGTGAAAATCTAGGTTTAGTGCCTAAGAGTTAAAAAACAACCTGTAAATAAGGACAGAAAATTTCATAGAAAAAAAAAATGATACAAGCTAGCAGAGGTGTGTTACATGCCTAGCATCCCAGCCCCCTGGGAGACTGAGGTGGGAAGATCACACATTCAAGCTCAGTCTGGGCAACTGAGTGACTAATGGGATCCTGTCTCAAAATGTCAAAACTTCTAAAAAGGGCTAGAGATGTACTCAATGTAAAGGTCCTGGGTTCAATCCCTAATATAAAAAAAAAAGTGATAAGAATGAATTATCAAATTGTTAGTATTAAGAAGCACCTGGCTTAATTATTTGAATAACAGTCAGAAGTATATTGAGAAAAATCTACACCTTGTAAAACTGGATTTTATTTTTCTCATGGCTGAGTCATCCTGATTTTGCCACTTCCAGGAAACCTGGACCAATTTAGTTCCCTTCTACCTTCTTCACCTATAAGGTGGGTGAGACCTACCTCGTAGAGGTGCAGCAGAGGTGGAGAGATTTTAGATGAGTAACATGGTCAGAACAGTGTCACTTAAGTTGTTAGCTACTATGTTGTTGCTGTTGCTATGATTATTTGACTGATAATCATTTTCTTTGGTCTACTTTTCCATGTTGAATAAATTGTTCTGTAGTAGAGTATCCCAGGTGCTGAGAGTTGTCCTCTCTCCTGTCTTTTTCCTTGGGAAGAAGTACAGGTGTTTGAAAGGTGCAAGGACTCAGACATTTCCATCCTTCTCCACAGAGACCCTGGCTCCCATCAGAGCAAGGCACTCAAAGCTGTAGGATTCTCTTCATCCTCATCGAGTCAAATGCCACTGACTGAAGCCTGAGAAATACTAAACTCTCCTTGTTTATTTTTAGGAATCAATCAGTGATTTCTACTGGTACTATTCAGGAAAGGATATCATTGATGAATCTGGACAGCACAATTTTTCTAAAGCTCTAGCAGTCACCAAGCAGATTTTCAATTCTCTTACAGAATATATCCAGGTACGTGCTAATGAGTACAGATTTGAAAACAAGAGAACATGTTTAATGACCCCTCTTTATATGCCCTGGAGGCACGCAGTGGGCTCACGTGTGGCCCTATTGCTGACTGTGCTTCTTATTTAGAAATAGGAACCAGTAGCGCCTGTACTGAGAACCTGTAGTTTGTGATCCCTTAGTGGTACCTACTCTGGTGTTGTCACACTTTATTTGCATTTATGTGGTCACATTTTGCTTTCCCTCCTGGACTGAAAATTTTTCATGGACAGAAATTTCTTATTCAGCTTAGAAGTCTTCATGTCTAGCACACTGACCCATCAATATCTGATGTTATGTTTTGATTATTTATTTATTTATTTAAACAGGTTCTCATTATGTAGTCCAAATTGGCCTTGAACTCACAATTTATCCCAGGCTGGCCTCAGATTTGCAGTAATCTACCTGCCTCAGCCTACTGAGTGCTGGGGTTACAGACAGATGTGCACAACTGTGTCCAGACAAACTACTTGTTTTTAATAAGCATGGAGAGTGAACTAGAAAATGATTGATAAAATAGTGAAACAAAGGAATAAAGGGAGAGTGCTGTTACCTCAAATAAAGATTAAAAACAATCCATGAGCTCCTATTAGTTATTTCAGAAATTAACTCTATGGGAAGTGATTTCAGATGCACATAAACTATGCACATGGCAGTCAAACCTGCAGGTGAACTTCAAGTTGAATGTCTAGACCATTGAGTAGTCTTTCTCTACTCAAAGCATTCTTTAGTTAATGCCTACAGTGATCTACCTACTGTGAAAAGGAAAAAAAAAGATATTCTCAAGCATAATTTTCTGCAAAATAAGTACCCATATCATAGTCCTCTGTGATGTAAGATTTTAAGCAAAATGAATACTTCATCTTCATAATAGCATAACCAGAGACTCATGAAAAAAAATTTCATTCATTTATTCACCAAAAAAAATTTTAACTTGTGCTGCATACTGTGATTCATGAAAAGTTTAGTAAATGGGCACTATTGTTTTAAAAAGCCTAACAAAATTCATTACACAAGGAAAATTATTTGATACAAAATGATTGATGACACATGATTCGAAATATTCACACATGCTGTGCTGTGACTGCAATTGTGAGAGTTCAAAGGAAGAGGAGATACTCTGGAGCCACAGAGCTCATGGTTTACAGGGCTGTGGGATGTGGACGGATAGAAAGGAGGAGGAAGTACATTCCAGGTCAGTCTTTGGGAAAAACTACAGAGATAGGATTGTGCATAACTTCTTGAGAAATAATGTCAACAATTACATCAACTTGGTGAGACAGGAAAGAAAATCAAGGAAAGAAACAGTGAATATTTTATCCATTTTCTTGTACACTTTCATTTCTTCCTCAAAAACATTCTGTAAACTAGGAGAGTTGGAGTTTTTAGTGGCTCTTTTTTATGAGCTACATAATGGTACTGAAATCTGTTCTATCAAAAACATTAGGTTTTCATCAGGTAAATACCCATATGATGAGCTAATTAGTTCAATCAGGTCATATTGCTCATTAAAATAAACATAAAACTAAGATTACCAACTTGAAAAGATGAATTTTAAGGGGGAAAGTTGCCCTTATCTCACTTAAGTACTGGAAGAACAGAGAGAATCCTAGGAATCAGTGAAGTTCTATACCTATATCTAAAGTTCTACAGAATTTGAAATACTAGGAAAATCACTAGATGTTTTTCACTTGCATCTGAATTGATCTGAGAAAAAAACATCCTTATCTTCAAAAGTTGCCCCTGGGGCACTTAACCCAAAAGGACAACCTCATATTTTGTGACTATGAATTTCTTTCAGCAGCTAATTTTGCTCCAAAAGAATATAATAGCTGCTAGGCATCAGAATCTGAATTCCATAATCAGTGATTTTTAAACACTCTCACTTGAATGATGATACAGGCAGTGTTTCTCCTGTACTCCACTTGCTTGAGAAATCTGCCAAGACTCTCCCAGAACTTGAGGTACATCTGTGTCCTTTCTCAAGAACCTTGTTATTGAAGAGTGAGTCAAGATTATTCAAAGAATATGAAAAAATATGTATGGCTATAAGATAGAGTTAAGAGTGTTGCTTCAATAATAGGAAGGTTAATATCAAGGGAAATGCAAACTAATAATTAATTAAATCATCCCTGTATATTCAGCTTTCAGAAACAACATTTGACATCCTATTATACTGAAGTTTAGGTCAATGATAGTAAAAACCTAGAAGTGATTGGACAAGGTCTATTACCAATATACATGTTTAATTTGACTAAATGATCACATGATCGTAGCATCATATGTATCTTTGCTTGAGACAGGAGATAAGCTGGAGCTTGGTTTTCAAACTGTGTTCATAAAACCCTCGATAACTATTTTAAATATTGTCCATCATCATAGGATTTTATTTGGAGGATGCTTTGGGAAGCTAAAAGAAAATTTCTGAACATTGCTAGTGTGTAAAATCCCTAGATTTTTTCCCCCTAGATATATACTACAGTCAGAAAGGGGGAGAAGTAATAACCTGTGAAAACTTTGAGTTCTGAAATATGTGACTTTCGGAAAGTGCTATCTGCTCAGATAAAAAGGCATCAGCTCCCCTTACTGCAACAGGTTTCAGAGTACCCTGTGATGCTGATGGGGAATCAGGATGTCCTCCTCTCCATAGGGCCCTTGCATTGGGAATCAGCAGAGCCTGGCTCACAGCAGGCTGTGGGACGCAGTGGTCGGCTTCCTCCATGTATTTGCTAACATGCAGATGAAACTCTCTCAGGTACTGTGGCCTGTTCCCCATACATTCTGTTGGTATGAGTTGCTCAAAGATCCTCAGCCCTTAGTTTTTCCATTGTGGATGTGGCTGCTTGATCAAAGGCTGGCGAAAGCCATGCAGATTAGACTTTACTTTTAAAGCTGAGGGCCACAAGGGGAGACAGGATTGGATGCCTCCAGGGGGTCCCGGATAGGCTTCTGCATGAATGCAACTTCCTTCCGTGTCCCACTGACCTTTTCTTTTTGAAATTGCCTCAACACTTGCTTCTTATGGTGTTAATCCTGTTGCTTTCTTGTTACTGTATGTCAGTGTGTGAACACTATGTCCATCCTTTCTGAATGGTCAAATGTTGCATGTGTCTGTCATCCTCATATATTCACTTCCCCACCTTTGCTTCCTCCTCCCTCCTCATCTCTGCCTCTCCTTCTCACTCCCCATCTCTCTGGCAAGATGAATCAGAATCACTCAGAGCATTTATTATGAAAAATAAATGTAGCATATGTAGTAGTGATCACCTCTCTCCATGGCAACACATGAGGGAGAACTTCAGGATGTGTTTCAGGCTGATTAGAGTAACATTTGCAGCATTAATTTAAATAATGTTTATCTAAAATTTTCAAGGCTGTGACATCTGCCTCCTCTCTTCTGGAATGTGCTATTTAACCCTTTCATTTTTCCCCTTTTGACTCTGGCCTTATGGGAAGAGAGAGTTCTTGGGAGGGCTACAAATCTGGCATAATATACTCACTTGTTTGTGAATAAGGACAGTGTGGTATTGAGGCTCCCAGAGACAGGAGCCCTGGCCCTGCCACCTTCTCACCAGTGACTTCTGGAAAGTCACTTCCCATTTCTGGTTTTTGCTTTCATTAAATATTCAGAGTTCGAATGGATGATCTCTGAGGTCTCTTCTCAGCTCTAATATTCTATGCTTTTGTGCTTACCTACTTCCAGTGTAGGTATTGCACACACCATATAGGGGAAATTTCTTCAGAAATTTGAAGGGCTAGGCAAAGAGCTATGTCTTTTTTAAAAACAAAAGGACCATTAAAATTAATTTAAAAAAATAAATTTAAACAAAAAATACCAAAAGGATGTATAAAAGACGTGTGACCCAGAAAATATTTTTTTTTAATTTTACCATCAGATCACTCTTCCAAAATCATTTCCTAATTTGAATATTATTCTCCAATTAATCTTCTAAAGATCATTTTCTGTAGCACAGGTATAAAGTACAGAGCTAATATAGCAATGCTCTGCCTGCATTGCTGAAATTAAAGCTGAACAGACTAATATCCAAGCCACCTGGAGGAACAACCTCAATTATAAATCATTTTAAGGAACCAGTGGCTCCTAGAACACCATGAGCTAGAATCAGCATAATCCTGTTCAGAGAGAAAGGAGAACTGATTTGGTAACTACAAACTGCATACTTTCATCAGTTATTTTTTTCCATAATTTTATTGAGAAACAAATAGCAATGAGACAGTTTCAAACCAAATTGGTAAGACAGTTTTCTTTCATCAGTTATGATAATAACCCCATGAATATCATTAGTAAGTTTCCAGTATAGAAAATAACAATACAAACTATTAGAGCCATCTAAAGGTTCTTTGGTGGATTAGGTTGTTCAGTAGTTTGGACAACAGTTGGTGTATCTGCCATATTTTACAATAAAAGAAGAAAGGTAACATTCTGTTGGACAAGTCTTGCTACAGCAAACCTCCTGAGCTGCAGAGGCTGGAGGATAAGACATTCTCATTCGCAATGAGAAGGGAGCTAATTCTTGACCTTGACGCAGCCTTCGCCTAACCTTTCCAGAGCAGGCTCTTCTTGCTCACTGCCCTGTACTTTGCTGAGGGATCAGATAGCTCAGGGGTATCTCCTGTTTCTGTTCTAGGATTCCAGTCAGATCGAGCTGCTGAAGGAACTCTTGGATCTCCTTCAGGACATGGTGGTGATGCTTCTGTCCCTCCTGGAAGGTTGGGCTGTTTGGTATAACTAGGCATTCACACAACTGTAATTGGTCTAAGCACTAACCTTACTAATCACACAGATGATCCTTCTGGAAGGTCATTGATGCCATATGCTATTGGTTAAAATGCCAAATTTTCAGAAAGAAAAAAAAAAATCAGTGAGGGGCACGTGGTCTGCTGGACAGAGCCTGAAACCAACTCATTTTCTATCAATAGGAAAGCCAGAATGAACTGGGGAAATCCTCCAAGCTTTGCTCTTCCCTATCCTCTCCCTCTCCCCATTGCTTTTCAATACATCTGGCTGCCAGTGTGTATGCCAGCCATCTACTTGGCACCTTCCTAAGTCTAAGGGGATAAGAGGGACACCACATATCCCAATGTGTCCCCAACAATCTAATAATGAAACCACTTTCCAGGCTCCAGGCCAGAACAAAAGGCCACAGTGCAGCCATCTCTATCTTCCCTTTGTTTCTTCTCCCTTGGGTGTAGTCTTTAAGGCTTGCTGCTCCCTCCTGCCCATTTTCAAATCATCATGGTCAGAAAAGAACTGACTAATTTGGCACAGAAATCTTCTAAAAGTAGCTACTTGCCCAGTTACCTATTGGCTTGGATTTATTTATATATTTGTATGTCTTTTTGAACCTGCCTCACAGGGAATGTGGTAAATGGAACTATTGGCAAGCAGATGGTTGACACACTGGTAGAATCATCTACCAATGTAGAAATGATCTTGAAATTCTTTGACATGTTCTTGAAACTTAAAGACTTAACCAGCTCAGACACCTTCAAAGAATATGACCCAGATGGTAAAGGGATCATCTCCAAGAAAGAATTTCAGAAGGCCATGGAGGGGCAAAAGCAGTACATACAGTCAGAGATTGACTTTCTCCTATCATGTGCAGAGGCAGATGAAAATGAAATTTTTAATTACATTGACTTTGTGGACCGGTTCCACGAGCCTGCCAAAGACATAGGGTTTAATGTGGCAGTGTTACTGACAAATCTTTCTGAACACATGCCTAATGACTCTCGCCTAAAGTGTCTCTTGGACCCCGCAGAGAGTGTGCTGAATTACTTTGAACCATACCTGGGACGGATTGAGATCATGGGTGGTGCCAAGAAAATCGAGCGTGTTTATTTTGAGATCAGTGAATCCAGTCGGACTCAGTGGGAGAAGCCTCAAGTGAAGGAGTCTAAGCGGCAGTTCATTTTTGATGTGGTCAATGAAGGTGGGGAGCAAGAGAAGATGGAGCTGTTTGTGAGCTTCTGTGAGGACACAATCTTTGAGATGCAGTTGGCATCACAGATCTCTGAGTCTGATTCAGCTGACCGGCCAGAGGAGGAGGAAGAAGAAAATGATGCTTCCTATGTGTTAGAAATGGAGGGGGAGGAGCAGGAAGACAAGTCCTTCGAGCCTGCCTCTGCATTTGCCATGGCCTGTGCCTCGGCAAAGAGAAATGTTTCCAACCTTCTAAAGAGGGCAACCCTGAAAAACCTCAGGAAGCAGTACCGGAATGTGAAGAAGATGAGTGCAAAAGAGCTGGTGAAGGTGTTCTTCTCTTTTTACTGGGTGTTTTTCGTGGGGCTATTCCAGATGTTCTTCACCATATTAGGAGGAATATTTCAGGTCCTCTGGAATACTGTATTTGGAGGGGGACTTGTAGAAGGGGCAAAAAACATCAGAGTGACCAAGATTCTGGGTGACATGCCAGATCCAACGCAGTTTGGGATCCACGATGATGCCATGGAGGCTGAAAGGGCAGATGCGGTTGAGCCAGGTCTCACAGCTGAGCTAGTGCACTGTGTGAAGGGGGAGAAGGGAGACGCAGACATCATGTCAGACCTCTTTGGACTCCACTCAAAGAAAGAAGGTGGCTTAAAGCATGGACCTGAGGTGGGTTTGGGTGACCTCTCTGAAATTATTGGCAAGGACGAGCCCCCTACATTAGAGAGTACTGTGCAGAAGAAAAGGAAAGCACAGGTAAGCACGACTTGTTTCTGTCTTTCTTTAACCTCAGAAAAAGATGTGCTACTGTATCCTGAAATTAGTACTGACACCATTTGCCTAAGAGCTAACACTGTACTAGATGTTGGTTCTGCTATGAATCCCTCCAGTCTTATAACTCTGCAGTGTCTGAGGGAATTGAGACCTATCTGGTCATTCAAGGTTTAGTTGATTAGTGGTCTTGCAGTTTTCATTATAGAATTTAAGTAGGAGATTTTAAACCTTCACCTTGCTTCAAGATTTTATCCTATTAGTTTTCACAGTCCACAGGTTTATACAGTGAACCAAGAGCATAGAAAACAAGGTTTAATGTAAAAGGAGAGTTATCTTGTGAGACAGCACTTCTACGAGTACACTCAAAGGTCCACATGATGTCATCTACTTTGGGGCAGCTTCCCAGTGAGATTAATCATGCCTGAAATATTTTTATCCTTGTGATGCTCCCACTATTCATGCAGGACTTGAGATCTATCAACTCGATGAAATGAAAGAGATTCCAGTGGGCCCTGGGAGGCCCTGGCTGTTCCTACTATTGAAACATCTAATCAGGAGTAACATTCTTGTAACAAAGAGAGCAGAGAAGAGTGGAGCGATGAGAAGCCAAAACTTACTTGCATTTACTCTTTCCATGATTATTTATGGGATGTTTTAGATTCTGAGAGTACAGTGAGAAGTGTTTGTCCTTATAGTGAAGAAGATAGACATAGACCAGTCAATATAAGCACAAAGTCTGCTCAGAAGGAGAAATGTCAGGAGGAGATGCATAGGTGAGAACTCTTACCCAGCATAGAGAGTCAGGGTAGAAAGCAGCAGACCACAGGCATTCTTACTACCTCCTTCATTCATTCTGTTTTGCTTCCTGATAAAACCTACAACTCAGAAGAGCTTGATACATAACAGAGATGCATTCTGGGATTTTATGTGTCCAGCTGTGTTCTACAATATAAGAATACATTGGTTAACAGAAGAAACAACACTTTTGCTCTTGTGAAACTGAAACTCTAGTGGAGAAGGCAACAAATAAATAATTACCATTTACCATGCATGGTAAGATAAATGAACAAGCTACCAGGGTAGACATAGCTCTACTATAAACAGGGAGGAGAGGCTTCTGAAAACATGTCATCTTAGCCAAGTGCTAAAGGATGACAAGCACATGGACAGTCAGGGCAGTTGTGCTCTACGCAGAGCTGATGGCTTATGCCAAGATGCTGATAGGCAAAAGGATCTGGAATGTTCAGGAATGGAAAAGGCTGAGAATCTGGATATAGAAAACAACAAATGGGGGGTACAAGATGAGGAGGAAAAGGCTAGGATTGTGTAGGGTGTGGAGGCTTTGGTGAGGACCTTGGCTTTTTTCCAAGTATGGTGATCATCACCATCTAGGGGGATCAGGCTGGCGGCAAGGAGACTGAGAAAAAAGAAAGCACATGGGTGGGATGTGGGCTCTGGTCAAGACTTGGTGTAATCTGGGTCACATCTCTCTTATCCCTTGAGGCAGTAGGACTGCTGCCACAGGGATCTCACAAGGTTCAAGCTCAGGTTTACCAGCTGAGTAATAGAGGAACAATTGAAATCTCTGAAAGTCTGAAATCTCTGTCTTGGCATCTTTCCAGAGAAGCTTAAGCTATGGCAGGAAGCGTATGTTCTGTGATTCGGAGAGAAGCTGAAACATGAAGAGGAAAAAGATCTAAGACTTGAAACCATGAAGAATCTGGCAAAAACATGGCTCACACTGAGCTTACTCCTGGGGGAAACCTTAACTAACTGTCATTTTTGTCTAGGCAGCAGAGATGAAGGCAGCACATGAAGTCGAAGGAAAAGTAGAATCTGAGAAGGCAGAGTAAGTTCTTGGTAGCATGGACTATGCTAATTGCTGAGGCCGACAGTTCTCAATAGCATGTACTAGTCTATTGCTGTGGTAAATACAAAACCTGGTTTCTATTATTACAAGCAATAGACACTGTAAAAACCTAGGCATATTTCTTTTTTTTTTTTTTTTTTATCTTTTTTTGTATCAGGGATCGAACTCAGGACCTCGCACCTTCCAGGCAGGCAGGCACTTATGCCACTGAGCTAATCTCCCACCAAGCATATTTCTTTTAACCTCAGATCTATTATATATATATATATATATATATATATATATATATATTCTATTTATAACTTTATAATCCCAATGGTGGATTGAGAGTCTCACTGCTTGGCCAAATTATCAAAAATACTTATACTTAGAAACTTCATAATAGCTAATATTTATTACATACCTACTGTCTTTCAGGCCTACACTAGGTTCTTTTGTAACTATCTCATTTAACTCCTGCCATAAGCTTAGAAGAGTGAGGACTAGAGCTAACTTTCAAGAACATTTGGAAAAGAAAGAATAACTTTTCTGAAAAGATATTATGAAACCTAATTTGAGAAGAGGAGAATGCTCACTTTCCATTGAATATAAATTTGATGTGCACTGTGGGTTTGTAAAGACCTGAGGAGTCCGCTTTTTAGAAAGAAGTCCACCTGCCACCCCCATAAGTCCAGATTTCTCTCTAACTTTTAGCCTGTCTTTCTGGACCAAACCTACCTCTCTCCACCTCTGCTGAGTGGGTTTCTCATCCCTGCAGCATGGAAGACAGAGAAAAGGAAGACAAAGCCAAAGAGGAAGAGCAAGAAGAATACCTGTGGACAGAAGTGACAAAGAAAAAGAAGCGACGGCATGGTCAGAAGGTTGAGAAACCTGAGGCCTTCATGGCCAATTTCTTTAAAGGACTAGACATCTATCAGACCAAGTTACTGGTAAGTGTTCCAGCCTTAGCCCCTTCCTGGTGCAGATGTTAGCAGCTGACCTCAGAAGGCAGCCACTGATGTTTTACCCCTCCATTAGCTGTGCTTCCTCCCCCCTTCTCACTCCTACTCTTTCCATCTTCTCCCTTCTCTGTGTATTCATTTCATGTTGGAGGAGAAGAAAAGGAGGATTGCTTGGGAAAAGCCACAGCCCTCCAGGCCGCTCCCCCAAGGCAGAAGCCAGGTGTCCTGTGTCCTTTCTCCCAGCAGTGCAGCCCAAATCTTTTTCTAATTGGCTCTTCACATCTACTATGTGGGTGCTTGGCTGAATCTAGCATGAAAGTTCAAAACTAATTTAATCCTCTGAGATACAAAGAGAAATTTCCTATGTTAGGTTAACTTCCCACCTAGTTCTCAACCTCAGCCAAGCCTGTGATATCTTTTCTCTGATAGATAGAGTGACCACTGGGTTACAGTCACCAATGGCCAGGACTCCACCTATCTTGACCCTGTTAGCAAGGTCCCCCACCCCAGAAAGACTGGAACTTTTCCCAGCTGTGGCCATTCCAGGCTGTGGATCCTGATTTTTCCCAGGAAGATGGCAATGAAAATGGATACTATGTCCCTGAGAAAGGAATAAAAGAGGTTCCTTGGGCCATAACTTACAAAGGACAAGAACTCTAGCCACAGTTTGGCTGTGCCAGAAGTGGGTGGCAAGCAGATATTGAAGGACATTCCATGAGCCTGTGTCACTTATCATTTCCAAGCAGAGAACTTCCTCTATGAAATGATCATGAATACGCATACACATAACAAGTGGTCTTCTGCTGGTAGAACATTTAGGCATCTGGTCCCCTGAGAATCAAAATATATGTGTGCCCCAAATAATTCATGCCTCTGTGAAGAAGTGTAAGATTTCACTAAAAAAGTGGTAAACAAAAAGTAATTGTCCATGTAAACGTCTAACTAGAGCAGCTTGCCTGGTGAGACAGGGAAGTTCTTCGCCTTCCAAAGCTCTTCTACTTCTGCCTGCCCTTTCTTTTCAGCATTACCTGGCCAGAAATTTCTACAACCTGAGGTTCCTTGCTCTGTTTGTAGCCTTCGCTATCAACTTCATCCTGCTTTTTTATAAGGTGATACTTCTTTGGGTTTGCTTGCTAAATACATAACAGAAAAAACATAAGAGAATTTTAATCATAGCAAACATTGTATTATCTAAAGAAATGTTTAAGACATTGGCTTCTAGAAAGTGTATAATCTTTAGCAGTGAGAAAACTGGAAAGACTGCTGACAAAGGAAGCAGGTTGAGTCACTACCTAGGAGTTGAAGTTCATCTTATTACTTAATTTAGTCTTCAAATATGGACTGAAGATCCACTCTGTAGTACTTATGTCAGTAACAGTGGGGTATTTCAAAATAATAAACAGTTATTTCCTTGGGGAATAAGATAACTGAGAATCATTAGAGTTAGATCATATGTTAGAACCATCATGAAGGAAGAATTAACAGGAGTTGGGAAGAGAGGTGATAGTCAAGATAATTGAAAACTGAACATTGGTGAGTAGGACTTGCACGTTGTAGCATGTAATAACTGTTTATTAAAGAATGACCCTAGTTCTTTTTTAATTTCATTTTATGAGTTTACAGCATATGTTTGTGCTGTAAAATAATTATATTCATTTTGGGGAATGGTTACAGATATATATTGCATCTTAATCTTTCATGTCTCCCACACAGTTTTCTTCTTCCTCAGATTCTTGACATAGTCTATAACTGGCTCTTCTGTCTCTTTCCCCTCTCTTTCTTATTTAAAAGCACCAACATGATTTTTATGAAACACTTATCCACATCAACTACCCACTTGACAAAAAAAAAGGCTTTCTATTACCCATAAAAGAAAAATGGAAGTCTGTAGCAAGGTGAATAGCTCCCTTTCAACAATACTGAGGTTGAGGTGGCTCCAGACAGCCCTCCTGGTGGAGAGAGCCAGTGGGCAGGTGAAAACTACAGGACATAAGCCTCCTGTGGGCAGATTGGGGCAGTTACATGTGTAAGAATAGCCAGGGGAGCCACGAATGGAAATGGAATCTCTGAAAGAATGGAAACTGTGTGTCCATGTGTGTGCCTGTGTGTGCCTGTGCATGTTTGTGTTAGGTCTCAGGCTCTTCTCAGGCCACAAAATTTCTATAGGCCACAAGAAATCATCTCTTAGGGCCCAGAGATTATAGCAAGCATAGGAACAGGCCCCTCATTTTGATAATTTTTTTTCTTTCTAAGACTTAAGAAAAGAAAGCAAAGTTAATTGACTTTTTACTTACAATTAGTACAGATACTAGGAAATTCTTATTCATACGTTACTTGAAAGTCTCATATATTCAGCAAATAATGCTGAACCAGTACTTCTTGTACAAAATAAAATAGATGGGGAGAGCCTGATGGCAGAGGTTGCTTCTGCTGTTGCTGAGTGAGCATGTGTCTCGGGCCAGGTCACTGAAGAACCTCTAGAGGAAGAGACTGAGGATATTGCAAACTTGTGGAATTCCTTTAATGACGAGGAAGAGGAAGAAGCGATGGTGTTCTTCGTCCTTCAGGAGAGCACTGGGTACATGGCGCCTACACTGCGTGCCCTGGCTGTTGTCCACACCATCGTTTCACTCGTCTGTGTTGTCGGCTACTACTGCCTGAAGGTGAGCTCCAGGCATGCTGAGTTTATGTCTCCTAGAGGAGGAAAGGTCATGTTTTAGCCCAGCTAGACCTTTGTTCTGCAGACTTGGCTGGTGCAGCACATTTTGTGAAGCTTTAACATTACAGTCACATGCATTACAGTCACTGTTTATAACTGGATACCCTCTAGCCCCACCATGGGGTTATAAATCAAAACCAATCAGAATTTATTGAGCTTTTGCACATCCAAGTTTGAGAAATCTTGTTGGAGAAGTCCCATTTCAGAATGCTTCTTTTTGAGAATCATAGCATTTGAATCATTGGTCTGAGTCACAGACAGAACTAGTCATGATAGTGATATAGGGACCTCTAAATGATATAAGGGAAAAAATGAAACTCCCAACCTGAAAGGTACCTGGGATGAGTTCATGTTCTCTAAAACCAAAGAATGAATTTTAGGAACAAATGGAGGTTATGAACAGAATATATTTATTGGGGCAAAGAATTTGAGAGAGGGACAGAAGGGGGGCCCTGAGTGAGTGGTCCCTGGGAAGCTGTCTCTTCCAGGGACTTTTTTATTTTTTTTTTAATTTTTAGGGAAGGGTCTACAGGGTGTTCAGGGTCTCACTACTAGATCAGACTTGTAGTGATCCACCTGTTTACAGCCTCTCAAGAGCTGGGATTACAGGCCTGCACTATCAAGCCCAGTCTCAATTGCCCTCTCAGCATACCCCGGAGGCCAGGATGGCAAGGGCAGGCCTGGGATCAAACTCTGGACCCCTGCACCTTTTTGCAGGTGATTTAATGAGCTGAACTATTTGTCTAGCCCACTTATAGAGGAAAACCATGAGGTGAGGTGGGTCTAAGGAGGTAAAGAACACGGAAACTCACTTAGGTGGGCATGAGGTGGGACAAAACTATGGTCAACCAATGAGATTACAAGTACTATTGCTCAGGTAAAATTGATTAAATTGGAACCAAATGAAAAAGCAAGTCATGTAGCAAGCAGGCACAAATATGGAACAAGGTCTCCTCCTGTTGGGGGTTGGGTTAGTGACTCATTTGGACTCTTTCAAGGTGACTGATACTTATTTAGAATATCAATCACTGATTCCCATTCCTAGGGAAGCATGTGGCTACATTTGTTTACTCTTTTGTCTTGAGGTCTGGCCCACAGCAGGGAGTGTCTGTCTCTTCCAAAGTTGGGAAGTCACCTTGTCTTTCATATTGTCTCTTTGAGGGCCTAGCCCTGTCTGACTGTCTATAATATTTTTATCTAATTGAGTTACCTACAACAATAGGTTCTCCTAATGCTGGAATTTTTATGAGTATGACATTTTATTAGACTGTAGCCATTCAGGATAGGAGAAAAACTTCACTTGTATAAAACAGTAGTTTCAGTGTCCTACTGATGCATAATAAATTGCCCCATACCTAGTGGTTTCTTAAAGAGCAACCGTCTTATCTTGAGGAATCTCACCGACTGGGAACATTTGGGCAGTTCCTCTGCTCCAAGGGAAAGCACCTTCTGCAGCCCTCAGAGAGCTCATCTGGGTGAGAATGGCATCGATGGCCCCTTCCTGTGCCCAATAATCTCCACCAGGGAACAGGGGTTCCCTTGGCATAGCTGGAGCATCTGTGTCCTCTCCATGTAGACTCAGGATATCTCACTCTTTGCAAGGCCTCTTCCTGTGTGCTTTCCTGTGGAGTAGCTGAATGTCTTGCATGGATTGCTTAGGGTTCCAGAAGGAGCAGAAGAGAAGCTGTATCCCTTCTGAGCCCAGAATTAGTACAGTACTAATGTGGTTCCCACCTCATTCTGTTGCTAAAAGCAAGTTACATGGCCAGTTTAGAGTCATTGTTGCATGGGGTGGCTACACAAGAGCACTGAGCACCAGGGACACCTTTAAACACCTATTGTAGACATGTCACTCAGCTCAGTGGCCTAAGCAGCTGCCTGGCAAGTGCAAGGACCCAAGTTCGATCCCCAGTACCACATGCCGTGCTAGCCCCGGAACCCTGGGCATGCCGTGCTGGACACCAAAACCGGGCATGATAGAGCATACCTGTAATGCCAGCACTGTGGAGGCTGAGACAAGAGGATCACTGAATCTGAGCTTTGTAGTGAGACCCTGTACCAAATACATAAATAAATAAATAAATAATAAAAATAAAAAGAGTACACAGGGCCAGCCACATAGCTCAGCAAACTAACATGCCTGCTGCAGCAGAGCACAGCGGCCAGGGTTCAATCCCTAGCCTGCTATGCCAGCCCCACCCATGAAGTACACTGAGATGGTGACTGAGACTGGGCATGGTGGCCTGCACCTGTAATCCCAGCGCTTGAGAGACTGAAAACAGGAAAATCACTATGAGTCTCATCTATGTAGTGAGACACTATACACCCTGCAGACCCTGTCCTAAATTCATTAAAAAAAAAAAAAAAGCATGCATTGGCCAGCAAAGCTTTGGCTTTGTTTTCTTTTCCACATCCTCCACTGACTTATAGCAATCACGATTCCTCACAGTGTTCAATGCCCAGTATCAGCCCTTTTCACTCCCATTAGTCCTGAAGACATAAGTTTGGGCATAAGTCTCCAGTGTCACTTGCTACCCTAAAGAAAATAAGGGCAAGAAATAACTCTTCACAAATCTGTTTTGAAAATAAGAATCTGTGTGGGATAGATGATATCATGAGCATTTTGGTTTGTTTTACTGGGAATCAAACTCAAAACCTTGCACCTACCAGGCAGACACTGTGCTGCTGAGCTATATCCCCGGCCCCATATAGTGAGTTCTGAGAAATTACTAAAACAAAGTTTTCCAACTAAGTTCTTAGGGATGTAAGTAAACAGAGGTATTCCAAATGAATGAGAAGCCCAGGCTCTGCCCGAATTAAGGTCTTCTGGCTAACGCAGCCCTGGCCATCCTGACTTCTTTCCTGGAATTTGTGCAATATTCTATTACCTCATTTGCCTCACATTAAAGTATGCTTACTGAGTGAATTGCTCTCCTATCCACTTCTGGGTTCCCCTTTGGTGGTGGGTTTTTAGAACCATGTTACTGTATATAGTTTAAAATTATAGTTACAGTTTATTCTGACAATGCTTCCTGTTTCTATGGCTTCCTTCCCCACAGTTTCAGTTACCTACAGTCAATTGCAGTCCCAAAACATTAAATTGAAAATCAGATAAATGAAACAATGTAAGTTTTAAATTGCACACCACTCTACATAGCATAGTGAATTATATCATTCTATGTGTCCCATCTAGGACATGCATAGAATTATATCATTGTATCTGTACCATGTGAAACACAAGTCATACCTTTGTCCATATTCACACCGTACTTCCCTGTTGGTCACTTACAAGCCCTTAGATGTCAAGGTATCACAGAGTGATACAAGTAACCCTTATTTTCCTTAATGATGGCCTCAAAGAGCAAGAGTAGTGATGCCAAAATGATGCCATAGCGGTCTTCCTTTAAGTAAAAAGGTAGCAGTTCTTACAAAGAAAAAAAAGGCCCTATTCTGAGGTTGCTAAGATCTATAGAGTAAACTTCTGTCTGTAAAATTGTGAGGAAGTGTAAAGAAATGTGGCTTAGCTTTTTGTCACACTTCAAACTGCAAAAGCAACCATAACGCTGCATACTAGATTCTTTGTCAAGATGACAAAGATATCCAGTTCGGGTTTGCTCATACAGGAAAAGACAGTATACATAATGTTTTGTCCTATACCCAAGGGTCTTGAAATGTCTCCCCCACAGATAGGGTAGCTCTACTGCATACGAGAATGGGGAGTTAAAGCAGTGATAAACAGGTCTGCTACTACCTGGCAGATGCTCTTTACAGAAAAAAAGCTTCAAACAAAAGGCAATATATGCAGTCCTCTGAATCTTCATATTCTAACTCTCAGGTAGTGTTTCATGAAAACATGTACTGAATATGACCCTAGTCATGGAAGAGAATTGGAACATTGCAGCACATGCATGTGGCTGACTAATCTAGGACAGGACAGGACAAGATAGGACGGACAGGAAAGGACACTAGGAATAGGAATGGGAATAGGAAAAGAATGGAATAGAATATTGCATCCGTCCAGCACTTTCCTATTGCTGGACACAATACCCAACACCCACAACTTGAGGTTTATTTTGGCTCAAAATTTTCAAAAGATGTAGTCCAACCTAGCCACCAGTCAGAAACAGCATAGCAAAAGGGTACAGCAAAGAAAGACTGTTCAACCCCACATAGTGACCAGGAAGCAGAGAAAGAAGGGAGGCGCCAGGGACAAAAATAATGCCTTCCAGGTCACACCCATGGTGACCCTCCCCCTCCAGCCAGCCCCACTTTGGGGGGACACTTTAGGCCTAAACCATAAAATTGCTGTAAGTCTTCATTCAGTTCCAAACTAGGAGTGTTAGGAAACCTAAGCATTCAGACCTGGCACATGTCTAAGCAAAGGCTTTCTCATAAGGATGGGTCCAAATGTCCAGCTTATATTAGCATCACCTATTTAGCTGCATCTTTAAAGGGTAGCCCACATCAGCTCAGCTCTTGTGCGAACAGGTATAACAGCCAAAGGGTGAGAGATTTATTTGGCTTTGATTCCACAGTCAGGTACCCTAAAATCTCAGTATAAGGAGATTCCTGCTCTGAAGCTAAAATGCTAACTTGGGGCAGTGCCTGGCAGCGGGCGCTTTAATCATAAAATTTTATGTCTCCCCACTCCTAGGTCCCTTTGGTTGTATTCAAAAGGGAGAAAGAAATTGCCAGGAAACTGGAGTTTGATGGCCTGTACATCACCGAGCAGCCAACTGAGGACGACATCAAGGGGCAGTGGGACCGCTTGGTGATCAACACACCGTAAGTGTCCCAGCCCCCAATACAAAGGAGCTCCTTTTATGAACAGAATCTCTCTTCCTTAGCCTTGCAAGCTGATTAATAGAAGCTTCCCCTAGCTTTTCAGGATTTTTAAAGAAAAAAGAATTCTCATCCAATAATGTACCTACTGCCCTTCAAATACTTGTATGTATCTCTGTGGACTTGGGGAGGACAGAGGGTATCATCAGGAGGGACTGAGAACATTGAATTAATACCAGACTGTCCTGAACAACACAACCTAAACTAGATTTCTTTGTTGCATCATATAGTATTTCCAGGACTTAACTGCCCCAGAGGTCCCACTAATCAGCTTCTCCCTCTTGTCCTGTGACCATCACCAGAGGCTTCTCCTTAAATAAACAATCAGATTGGTAATATACCTTCTCCCAAGAGAACACTGATGCTTGGGTTTGGCATGGTACGGCCTGGGGAGTGAGCCTCCTTTGATAGTGTGTGTGTAATACTGTAAGGGAAACAGCACTGATCCTTGAAGTAGAGGGACCATGTCACCATGCTATGCAGGGGCCTGTCACCCTGGGCAAGGAGATACAGCCTCTAATCTCAGTTTGCTTTCACAAATAGGAAGATGAGGATGTAACTCCTACAGTCCCTTGAAGAACAACGAATGTATGTTAAGTGACTGGCACATGGTGGGCATCAAGCCATTATTCATGAGCTAGGAATAGAGTTCAGAGATAGGGCACTTACCTAGCAAGCCCTGGATTTGATCCCCAGCACCATAAAATAGTTCCCTGATTTTTTTAAAGTTATGCATTTTCTTTCCCTAACTGTTCAAATGAAGTGGCCATCACTGCCAGCCAGTGGTGTTCGCTAACACCAGTGCATCGCAGTAAGAAAAATGAGTGACAGAAAACAAAGCATGGTGGTAAAAATAAGGAAATAGGATTAACTATACGAACAAAGGTTGAATGCAGTGAAACTCAGTTGTGCCAAGTAAGAGGTGCACATTTAGAAACAACTACCTATGCTCAGGGAGAGGAAAACTGCTTCTTATCCAGACAAAGAGAGACAGGCTGCAAAGGTACAACTAGACATTTCCTAGGGACGTCAAAAAGGAGAGCAGTGGAACTCTAAGGCCCGCCTCTGGTGTAAATCCTGGCCACTTACACACAGGAAACACAAGGGAACAACTAAGCTTTGGTTTGGCTCCTTTGGCATTACACCGTGGAAGTTTCTGACACAATTAAATAATTGGATTCTTTGGGAAACTTTCTTTAGCTCTCAGTGATGTGTGAGTCTGTGATGGGACATGGCTTAAAAGTCCCAGTGAAATGCAGCTCAATTGCCAGAACTTTACCCTAAAGAGATAATGAAACAAATATATTAAAGTCTCCCAATAAATATATTTGCTAATAGTTTTTATTTCATGTGGCTTAAATCTTTGTGAATAGGAAAATTCATACCTAGAATAAATAGCAACTTTAAAACTTCTACATAGTCTAGTCTTTAATTTTTTTATACTAATGGCATCATAGTACATGGAGTGATTTCTAACTTGCTTTTGTTCAATTATATATATATTTTTTTCTTTTTTCTTTTTCTTTTTTTTTTTTTTTCAGAACCGGGGATTGAACTCAGGTCCTCGCGCTTGCCGGAGAAGTGCTTATTCCACTGAGCCATCTCCCCGGCTCCTCAATTATTTTTATATTATGGAGAACTACTTTCTTTCTTCAATTAAATATAATTTTAATTGGTATATATTTATACTTAGCAAGGGGCCAGGGAGATGGCTCAGTGGAATAAGCGCTTCCCTGGCAAGTGGAAGGGCCTGAGTTCAATCCCTGGTTCCGCCAAAAAAAAAAAATATATATATAATTTCCTTCCTCAGTATATTTATACTTAGCTGTGGGATACATTATTATAATTCAATATATGTACGCAGCGTATAATGATCAAATCAAGGTAGTTAACATTTCCATTTCCTCAAATACTACCATTTCTTGTTTTAGGAACTTTCAAACTCTCTTCTCCAGCTATTTTAAAATGTGTAATTAGCTACAGACTGTCACTGGCCCATTGTGCTATATAGCATTAAAACTAACCCTCCTGAGTTGCATTTTAGTACCTAAAATCTATGCTCATTCTTTATTTTTATTTTCTTAGATACACATACGCACAAACATACAAAATGTATGTGTGCATTTTAAGCAGAAACCACAAAGATTAAAAAGTACAACACTGCTAAAATCTCGAAAGCCTCCTGTGTTGCACTCTTTGATCATGTCTTTCTAATCTAAGCCAACTTCTTTTCTAATGGTCATATTAATTCTCAATAAGCTATTAGCATTTGTGATATTCATTCTCCTGCTGTAAGTTACAATTTTACCACTTAGGTATTTGTCTCTAAATACATCCCTTCATTTTAACTATTTTGAGCCATACTCAACTGGGACTATATGGTTATGTGAGCTACACTGTCACTTGAATCTTTCGTTAGGCACTATGTTTAGGCCTCACCTATACTGATGTGGATGCCTACAGTTCATTGCTGGAACTGTACCATGTTTTAGCATGGTAGTGTATTGACATATATTTTTACCTTTTGTCCTGAAAGTGGGTATTTCAATGGTCTCCAATTATTGGCTTTAAAAAAGTCCTCTATGAACATCACTGTATATGGAATACAAGTCAAAGAGTTTTTCTAGAGTATAGACTAGAAGAGGCATTAGCTGACTAGTAAGATATATGAAATATTTTTCCAACATAATGTATTCTAAAAGTACTATGCTGGGAGTACTTCTCTCCTTGCTTGTCAGCACTTGTCATTCTCGGAAATTTTTGCTGGTCTTCTAGGTGTGTAATACTACCCCATTGTACATGTCCCTGATTACTAAAGAGGTTAATGGGGCTGGGGAGATAGCTCTGCAGTCTAAGTGCCTGCCTGGCAAGCACAAGGACCTGGGTTTGATCCCTAGTACCACACGCCCTTCTGGCCACCAAAACCAGCCCTGATGGTGAACACTGATAATTCCAGCACTAGAGAGGCTGAGACAGGAGGATTGCCACAAGTCTGAGCTGCATAGTGAGACCTTGTACCAAATAAATAAATAAATAAATAATTTAAAGAGATTGAACACCTTATAATTTTTTCTGACCATTTGTATGTAAATATAGTCTTTATATATTTTCTTTCTGAATACCTATTCTCTTCGCTATATTTTAAAGAATATTACCAGGTAAAAACATATGTTGTATCTTTTTTTTTAAATTTTTTTATTTATTTATGTGTGTGTGTGTGTGTGTGTGTGTGTGTGTGTGTGTGTGTGTCCAGCTCAGCCCACCAGGGGGCGGGGTTGGCTGGCATGTGGTGCTGGAGGATTGAACCCCGGTCCCTGAGCTTTGCTTAGCTTGTTCCAAGTAGGTGCTTTAGACCACTGAGCCATCTCACCAGCCCCCATATGTTGTATCTTTAAGGAGCTTCTGACCCCTAATCCCTAGCCAGACAACAAGAAATTGAAAATGTTCAGATCACAGGAAGGTCATGTCCTTGAAAGACTCTTGCCCTCAAAATCACTTGTGGAGTCTTCCACTGAGGACAAACGCTGAGCATGCTACAAATCGTTCCATAGCTAATTTTAGAAGAAAGAGATAAGCATGCAGGGGAAGGCTGGTGTGGTCTCTGTTTGTATGATGTTAGATTCTAAATGCAATGCATGTAAACGCAAATCAAGCAGCAGAGAATGTACACAGAAAAAAGTAAAAACCAATTCTTTTCATCCTCCAGAGATAAGTTAATTAGCAGTTCATTCTATAAGGCCAGCATTTGTTTTTATTTTTAAGTGGCAGTTAGATGATTAAAACAAAGAAGCCATTTTAATGAGCCCCAAAGATTACATATATATATATATATATATTAAAAAGCTAAAACTCTGTACAGGGAGAGGTGGCCTTTGCTCAAGGCTGCAGTCTTCTAGTTTTCTGATCTCTATAGAACAGGGGACTGTTATGTTTCAGATCCTGAACAATAGTTCAGATAAGGAAAAATTAAGAATGTATACACTAGGGCCCGCAGGATAGCTCAGAGGACTAAGCACCTGCTTAGGTAAGCACACAGACTGGGGTCTGATCCCTGGCACCACATGCCACACCAGACCCAGTGTACACACTATGGGTCAGAGGTTCTGCTGTAATCTAACCTTATAAACAACCCACCCAAAAGGGATTCAGTCATTTTAGATAGGATCAACATATTTTAAACAGTTTCTGCTAACATAACTGAAGGTAGCAAATCTTTCTCAATTTTAGTGATAAGAAATTATTTGCAATGATGCTGGTATAAGCTATAGGCAGAAGACTACCTCTTGGGGACAATATGGAGGAGGGGAATTGAACAAGGAACAGGGATCTACCTCCTTGAAGAAAGCCCATGTTACAGAATTTAGTGAGAAAGGGGCTGAGGGCTTAGCTCAGTGATACAGTGCCTGCTTGGCAAGTGTGAAGTCCTGAGTTTGATTCCCAGCACTACCCCCTATAAAAAAGAATTTAGTAGGAATGAAAAAAAAAGACATTCATGTTAAGACAAACCATATGTAAAGTAACAAATGGTAATTCCAAGACTGGAAACCATAAGATTAGTAACCATATATACATTTTATCATATCATACACCTCCAGTATCTACCTGCTAAGGACACTAGTCACTGAACAATAAAATTATAAACCTAGCCTAGTTGCTGGTTATGCTGTGATCAGGAAAAGGATCAAGAATCATATAACTGGACTGCTGCGGCCGCAGTAGCACTGGAAGCCTGCCCAAGCATGGAGGTGGAGGGTCACGGGTTGTCTACCCAGCCAGCTCCAGGGAGCTGTGCGTGTTGTGCGACAGGTAGCAGTGTGGTGTGGGCAAGTTTCAAAAAACAAGAAAGAAGCATCTACAGTAGCTGCTTTGGGCTAGTCTGTCCTCAGGATTCCTGCTCCTTAATCATAATATTGAGATGAAAAATGAAGAGTAGTTTCCAAATGTTTCAGAAGCCAAGACGAAATAGTAAAACCACACATCAGTCAATCTGTGATTACTCTGAACTTCAAGCAGGTCTTGAAGCCTTCAGTGAGCAGGACAGAAACCAAAAAGATCACAAGTTCAGACGTTTAAAGTAGAAAGTTGCTTCAAGTGCTTGCCTTTATGTTTTAAGAGTTAAGAACCTGCTTTTTTCATTTTCATTTTCAGATCCTTTCCTAATAACTACTGGGACAAGTTTGTCAAGAGAAAGGTATGCCTTATCAGTGGGGGTGAATTCCGTGGTCACAAAGGGACCCAGCACACAGTTATTGTCTGTATTCCACATGCAGATGTGCACAACTGTGCTGTTAGTTCTAACATTATCTGAGGAGGTTCAGCACAGAAGTGATGGTGTGTGACAGCCTGTAGGTTTCTAGCTTCATTCTCAGTCTGCTCTCAACAATTTGACAGAATACTACCCTTTTTTTCACTCTAGAACAAGAGATTTAATTTTTAATTTTTTTATTTTTAAAGAGATATAAAGATAGAGATATAAAAAATAAACAGTGTTAGAAACAATACAAGATTTCAATAAATAAAATAATAGGAAGCCAACAATGATTGCTGTATTACATGATGCTATCTTCAAATTAGTTGTTCATATTCCCAAACATAAATGTGTAATATTTGTTTAAAAATAATTACAACGAATTATAAGAAATTCAAGAGTTGAAAAAATGTACAACAGATACTATGATAAGGCAAGAAACTGTTCAACAGTCAGGAAAAACTGGGATTAGAAAGAGAACAAATGTAAGAAGGGGAAAAGATTTATTTAGGTATACATGTAGAACAGTCTGGATAATTGTATTGTCAATTTCTGCTGGTCTTTTGAAAGGAATAAGACTGCTTTCTGCACATTAGGATTTTCCTCCCCTCCAAAATGATGCCAGCCAGCGTCTGTGTTGGTGGTATAGTGGTGAGCAGAGCTGCCGTCCAAAATGATGCCAGCTTACGCAGCAGCGCTCATTTCATTGCCTTCCCCACTTCAGTTTTCCCTGGGGGTTATATTGCTCTCTTCCTGTTGCATTTTGAATCATGTCTTCATCAATCCCTTGGAGAAATCTAAAAGGCAGCAAAGTTCAGAAGACCACAGAGCGAGAAAATAAATGTGAATAATGATGAGTGACCTCAGCTCACCCTGTCATCTGTCCACTTTAGGTCATCAACAAATATGGAGATCTCTATGGAGCCGAGCGCATTGCTGAACTCCTGGGTCTGGATAAAAATGCCCTTGACTTCAGCCCAGTGGAAGAGACCACAGCAGAGGCAGCTTCTCTGGTGTCATGGTACAATCCAAAGTAGCTAATGTAGATCCTTGATTTCCCCGTTCTTCCCCAGTGTACTGGGGAAGACTGCTGCCATGCCTTTGTTCTCTCAGGCCCTGGTCTGCCTCAGGCATTTCTTATTCTTTTTCTATCTTTCCTTTCTTTTTTTATGTGTTTGGTACAGGGTCTCACTACACAGATCACAGATCAGACACAGATCAGACTCATAGTGATCCTCCTGTTTTCAGCCTCCCAAGTGCTGGGAATACAGGCATGCACCACCATGCCCATTCTCAATTGCTGTCTCAGTGCACCCTGGGGGCAGGACCAGCACTGCATATCGGGGATTGAACCCTGGTCCCTGCATCTGCCTAAGCAAACACTTTAATCCACTGAGCTAAGAGATATCTGGCCGGCTCCTTCAGGCATTTCATCTAGGTTCTAACCTAATAGGAAACAATGGCTTTTAAACCCTTCAAGACCAATCAGAATTTTTTTCACGCCCAGCAGAACTAGAAGAGAAAGACTAATTAAGATTTCAAGATGTGTGGTTCTTTATTTTTGCCTCTAGGGAGCCTATATTACTTGATAAAGTTCACAGCTGTATTTGAATTATTAAACCTGAGAGGGAAAAAAACTTAATTTCCCCCTAATTAAACACTTAACTAAATCTTGACATCTATAAGTTATGAAATTATTTGTTCCTCTTTAGGCTGAGTTCCATCGACATGAAATACCATATCTGGAAGCTGGGGGTTGTTTTCACTGACAACGTAAGTGTCATACCTGGAAAAGCAAGATTCTGTACCCTACATTCAGAGGTGTAACTGGATTCCACAGGGAAATGAGCCGGGGGTGCTGGGAAAGCTTCAGGGGCTGCTTCTCAGAGACCAAGAGCTGTAGGGTGTGGGACACACTTTTTCCTCGGCAGCAGTGTGATGCAAATGGGTCCTATCTGGCAGTCTGAGGCCCAGCTCACCCTGGGCAGCACCTGCATCCCTTTGTTGTTCCCAGAAATGTGAAAAAATGGCTTAACAAGCCCATCATGTTGCACAAGTACTCAAGAAGTTCTTAATTTTTTTTCATTTCCAGTCCTTTCTCTACCTTGCCTGGTATACGACCATGTCAGTCCTGGGCCACTACAACAACTTCTTCTTTGCTGCTCACTTATTGGATATTGCAATGGGCTTCAAGACACTGAGGACTATTCTTTCATCTGTAACTCACAATGGCAAACAGGTACTGGATTTCTCCCAGTTTGGAAATCCAACAACAGGCAGTGCGCTAGCATAAGTATGTGACAAGAAGGGATGGCATTCAGTGTGCTTCTGTTGGCCAGACACTTGTATGAAGTGCTTGTTTTGCAAAACATTACATAATTAAAAATATAACTGTAGTTGTCATGTGAGAGTCATAAGACCTTGATTTAGAGACTCTTCACATTAGATCAACCCCTGGGGATCAGAGAGATGATGAACAAGGTGAGGGAAATCCCCAAATCAATATGGAGCCCTTTGCCTGATCTCCCCCTTCCTCCCTGGCCCTGACACACTCCCTAGTAGTTAACAAGTAGACATGCGTAGCTAGCAAACTCTCCAAATACTTGTCATGTGTCCTTAATCAAAAAACAGTGAGTTAAAATACCTAAGTTATATATTCACGTCATAAAATATATATAAACACTGGATACAGCAATATTAAAATCCACCAATGGCTTCTTTTTGTCTAAAAATTCAAATTGCTTAGCATTTCATTTCTCACAAAGTACAATTCATTATGTGTGAACTTACTTTCAGAAGAGGAAGGAGGAAATTAAAATGTGTCTTGTCTCAGATACTGTGTCAGTTTCACAGCCATGCTATGCTCACTTGACAGATAATAGAAATGAGGCTCATAGAAGCTAAGCAACTTAAGGACACACAACTAAGTGGCAGAGATCACACTCACACTTTAGAGTAGGACTGTGCTGTGCAGCCCTGGGAACTGATAGCTCTATGAAAACAATGTGATCTTCTCCTAACACCCTCATGCCTCAACCCTTCAGGACCTTAGTGGTTCACAGATGTCCAAACCAGTACACTGTTATTCTGCTGGGTGGCTATAACAAGCTGCCACCAATGGATGGAAGCTTTTATCCTCTTCTCATGCAGGCAGGACACCTACTACCAAGGTGCTGAAGGGTCGGTTTCCTTTGAGGCTTCTCTCCCTGGTTTGTGAACAGCCACCCTCTGGTGGAGGCCTTTCCCCATGGTTCTCTCTCTTTGTGCTGGCATCTGGTGTCCTTATCTTCTCTTATAAGAATGTTAGTGAGGTTGGACTTGGACCCAGCCTACTTCTAACTTCCTCACCTCTTTGAGGGTTGTGCCTCCATGTACTGTCACATTCCTAAAGCGTGACAGTCTGGGGTTCAGCACCTGCACTGGGGGAACATGATTGAGTCTCTAGCACCCCATCATTAATCTGTCCAAACAGTGTGTGTCCCTCTCTGCCCAGAACATGGCATCAGGAACCTCCATATGGAGGTCCAACCTCCTCCTTCCTTCTGTTCTTCCTCTCCTCCCCCAGCTGGTTCTGACCGTGGGTCTCCTGGCGGTGGTGGTTTACCTCTATACGGTGGTGGCTTTCAACTTCTTCCGTAAGTTCTACAACAAAAGTGAAGGTGATGATGAGCCTGACATGAAGTGCGATGACATGATGACGGTGAGTCCCCGTGCTGAAGGTACCACGGCCCTCTGCCTCACCAGGAGAGATGGGCTCTGGGTGTGGCCTGGAGAACTGTGTGCCAGAGCCGGCAGCTACAGTCAAAAAGAGGCTGCAACAAAAGCTGGCTTGTCCAAGAGGAAAAGGGTACAGGCCAGAGAGCTGATAGAAATAGGTTTCACTTGTGAGATCAAAGCCTAAGGAAAAAGGAAGCACACTGCGCAGGGTCGTCACTCATCTCACTGGAGCTGGGATAAGGAAGAGACACCTTTGTTAATGACCCACGCCTAAATTTCCTGCAGACAAACTTACTGCTATCCCTGAGAACTGGCAGTCATGGCCTGTGGATAAAATATCCCATTTCAGCGAGCCAGTGGGATTCTTTCAAACCACCACCAAAGCTGAAGAACATGACTACAGGATTACGTTAGGGGAGGCCCTAGCAGGTGAGGCTCCTGCAGGACAGACAGAACAGCTCAGAGGTGACCCAGCACTGCTGCAGTGGCATCACTGAAAGTTTGTCTTGACCGGATTTTAGGAAATGATGTGCATGTGTCTAGCACAGGTGGTAGCAAACAGCTCCATGTGAGCATGTCTTTGTACAACTATGCTCTCCATATTCCTCCTTGGGACAAGCACCCACAAGGCGGCAGGATTAGGCAGGACTTGAAGCTGGCTTCAGGCTCCCCAGACACTTGCTTTGCCTTTCAAGCAACCACCTTTCACCTGTTGAGTCTCACCTATGCAGTCATGTGCAGAGGTGAGGGCGCCCTGGGGTGTGCCAGTGCCAGGTGCCCACATTGGGCCAAACATGCAGAAGAAAGGCTACCACAGGACCCTTATCCAAAATGCTTGGGACCAGAAGCAACTTGGATTTTTTTTTTCAATATTTACATATATGTAATGAGGTGTCTTGGGGATACAACCCAAATCTAAACATGAAAATGGCATTTCACATACATCACACTATGCGCACAGTCTGAAGGTAATCTCATACATGTATTTTGATGACTGCAACCCATCACATGAAGTCAATTGTGGAATTTTATATTTGTGGTTAGAGTCTACCTCGAGTTTTAGATTTTGGAGCATTTTTAAATTTCAGATTAAGGATGTTCAATTTCTATTTAAGATGCTGCAGAAATTTCTGCCCTGCTAGGTTTTATAGGGAATGCAGAGGCAGTAGGAACCTCTTCTGAGAGTTTAAAACACAGCTAAAAACTACACCAACACCCTTGAAACTAAATGAATAAAAACTAGTGTCTGGCACAAAGCATACTCACCAACCCTTAAAAGTCTTTTATCTTACATGAACCCTGTTGCATCAAATAGTTCAAAACTGTTTTTTTTTAATGGACCAAAAAATATTAAAGTGTAACAATCTTTCCCTTGTGAATGCCAAACAGTGGTGTAGTGATAGCAGCAAGAAAACCAGTGTCACTAAAGAGTCCCCTGCTGCTAGCTCAGGGTTGTCACTGTCTGACCTAATCCTATGGATGATAGGACCATCTTGCTGGAGACAAACAACTCTGTCTTTGACCTGAATTGTCACTATCTTTGCTTCTAGTGTTACCTTTTCCACATGTATGTGGGCGTGAGAGCAGGAGGTGGCATTGGTGATGAAATTGAAGACCCTGCTGGTGATCCCTACGAAATGTACCGCATTGTCTTTGACATCACATTTTTCTTCTTTGTCATTGTCATCTTGCTGGCCATCATTCAAGGTACAGTTATCTTTAGATTAAGTATGGGGGGCCTTTCAATTACCTCAGTTGTTTAAGTGACTGCTTAAAACAAAGCAGTCAGGTTCAGGATGCTGTGGTTCGATCCCCAGATCCTCAAGCCTTACCAGACCTGCCCTGAAGGCATCCTGAGTCAGCCAAAAAAAATCATAGATTAAATATGAATAAGATTCAATCAAGTTTTTTTTTTTGCATCTATTACCTAACTTATAAAGAAGTTTGTGAATTCATTCACTTGTTAGTTTGACATTTATTGAGTAGCTACTCTGTGTGAGGTCTTGACTACATATCAAAAACCAAAGATCTGCCAAGGCACTGTCACTAGAAGCTGGAGAAGGCACAGCAAGGACTCCATCCTTTTGATCCTTGTGTGAATTATCTCATCACTTCACCTTCCTAAAGATGTTCTGTGGCTCCTTATGCCCAGTCTTGTTCCTCCCAGGCAGTAAGAGGAGAGGATCAAGGAGAGGAGCTATGAGAATGTCATGTTTCATTTAACATCTTTTGGGGACAGGACAGGGTACTGATATCTTAGTCAACAGCTTCTCAGGAACTGGTCAAAAAAAGTTGATGAGCTGAGCTTGGATCATGCTAAGCTGAGAAGCCTGTAAGGTAACTCAGGGGCCATGAGCTAGAAAGCAATGTGAGGAGGCTCCTGAAGTCAGGAAAAGAGGAAAAGCCCTTGCCAAGACAGAAAAATGAGGGAATGGTAGGGAGAAAAGAGTCTTGAGGAGTAGCAGATAATCAGCACTGAAATGGAGTAATGAAATATAGCAAGGAAACAGCTTCTAAAAAGCAGGTGTTTCCCCCAATTTAGCTTTAAGTGGTTTAGCGTATAATTCACATTCTGTACAAAGTGTCCTCTGCCACTTCCTCTTCCATATTCCCACAACCACTACACAGAGTTGAAACAGTCTGTACTTAAAATTCTAGGTCTTATTATTGATGCTTTTGGAGAGCTACGAGACCAGCAGGAACAAGTGCGAGAAGACATGGAGGT